GCTTGTGTTCCCGCTCTCGCTGTCTCTCTCTGTCAAATAAATAAATAAAAATCTTAAAAAAAAAAAAAAAACATACGTAAGAGAAGTATGCTATCCTCGTTTGCTTTAAACTTGAAATGAGGGAAGAAAAACAAAACGAGACAAAGCTAAAATTTCAACCGGTTTTTAAAAATAAGTATAAAAATAAAAGTCAGCCACCATATATATTTAATAGTGCTTTTAGTACGTAATTTCTCACACTACCTGTGAAATTCCATTATATCCATTTTATAGATGTGAGAATTGACTGTCTGTGTTCATATGCTTAGAGGAGACCATGAACTACCAATGTCAGATGCCTTAGGAGATTGTCCCAGGAAAAGATAAGAAATGCCCAGAGCTCAATTTATTGGAGATAATAGACTGCTCACCTAGGCAAGTAGCTCACTTATTGACCTTATAACTATCCAGATTTGCTGGGTCCATCACCTTTGCCAGATCCTGGTCAGTTCCCAGCTTTGAAAGGCACACCCCCACCACTTGAGTCCAGAACTCCAAATCCTGCTAATTTTTCATTTCTGATGTCCCCCTTCAGAGACACTGCAAAGAGCCCATCAAGGCAGTTTTCTGCCTTACTGCAGTGAGTTCTAATAAACTTGATTTTGCTCTATTAGCCAGTTGTTAGGTAGCATTTTGAATTCTGCCAACGAGAAAAGAGAAGTCCAGGATCATTAAGATAATTTGCTCCGAGTTCGACTGCTAGAATTTTGCAGAGCCCGGTCTGCTCAAATCAAGTGTTCAGATGCAAAGTCTGGGCTTTTTCCAGACATCTGCTCTGTCTGAGAAGGAAAGAATATTCTCAGAGAGGCAATGTCAATGAAGTTAAGCTGTATGAATTATTTATATGGTAAAATTTAATTAAATTTAAGTACACAATTATTAATATAGTCAAGCTAACACAGTACTTGTCACATAGTTGGTATTTTCTACCTTTTTGGTGTTTTTTCACTTTTCTACTCTAGCATTACTGTTAACATCTGGAACACAGGGAGCTCTAGACATTGGCTATTAAAAGAAGGGGATGTTCTATGTACGTGGATAGTGTAAGAATTCACATGATTAATTTTTTTTAAGATTTTATTTTTAATAAAATCATCTCTATGCCCAATGTGGGGCTTGAACTCACAACCCCAAGATCAAAAGTCGCATGTTCTACCAACTGAGCCAGCCAGGTGCCCTCACATGATTAATTTCTTTCCATTTTCTTTCATTCTGGTAAAGTTTGATGGAATAAAACTAAATGCCCAGAGAAGAAAGTATTTTGCTAACATTATCTTTCACCTAGACATGTTTTTCTCGTTTCTTCTCTCAGCATAACACTGATTAGAGCCTTGTAGTCCAACCAAAAGTTCCTGAAAAATCTTAGTGCAAATAGGGTTCAAAAAGGATTAATGTTTCTTTGATGAATTTCCCCTTCTCGTTGTCTTCTCTGACCACCTCTGCTATCTCTGTTATATGATAATGAGCTAACAGTTGTTTAAGTACTTAAACTTTGTGCCACATATTTCACTAAGTAATGTATTTTTTTTTTTTAAAGAGGGAGGGGGTGAGGGGAGGGGCAGAGGGAGAGGGAGAGAGAGAATCCTAAGCAGGCTCCATGCCCAGAGTGGAGCTCGATGCAGGGTTTGATCTCACAACCCTGAGATCATGACCTGACCCCAAATCAAGAGTGAGATGCCTAACCGACTGAGCCACTCAGGTGTCCCCTAAGGGACATATTTAAATGGAAAAGAATAATAGGTATCATTATCATATCCATTTAACACTTTAAAAAGCTGAGGCTTAGGAAAGTTAACATGCACAGGTTACACAGGGTAGATGGCCGATCCGTGATTCAAACCCAGGTCCACCTGTCTCCAAAGCCTATTTTCACTCCTGCAATGGACAACACTGCCATCAGTCTGTGACCTTAAAAATGGCTTAATTAATAAGGAGATGAAGGCACTCTAGCAAATATCATCATGGAATGGCTACAATCAATTCATCTCAGTGTGAAGCTAAAAGCTCTGTCTGCTACAACTCTATTCTCATCAATTCCGAATGGAGCACATAAAGGACAGTAACTCAGAATAAAAACATATTTTAATGTTTAAAGACTATCATTTAAACAAATAATGAATTTACAGAATCAAGCATACTGTCGTCCGTGGAACAGATGCTCGATCAGTGCCGGGTGAACAACTCGAAATTTCTGGAGGAGCATCTCTTCAGAAACTCCTCAAAACAGCCCTCTCTCCCCCTGGAAGCAGTTCCCACACACCACTCACCTGTTATGAAGCTGATGGTGGAGCTGTCACAACAGCTCAATTCCGGGTCTCCCCATGTGACCATGGTAACTCGAAAGTTGTAGTACCATGCTGGCAATAGATTGGCTATCCTCTAAAAAGAGCAAGGAGACAAAAGACTAAGGGGAAAAAAAATCATATTTTTGGAGTACAGTTATTTTTATTAGGTCATGAAAATAATCAATTTTTTTTATTTTATTTATTTTTTATTATTTTTTTATTATTTTTATTTCTGTGCCTTTTTGTATTTCCCAAATTTTCCATTTCCGGACTGAGGTAAGGTGTAAATAGAATGATATGCAAACATAATTTTTTTAAAGATTTTATTTATTTATTTTTGAGAGAGAGAGAGAGAGAGAGAACACAAGCAGAGGGGAGGGGTAGAGGGAGAGGGGGAAGCAGACTCCCCGCTGAGCAAGGAGCCCGATGAGGGACTGGATCCCAGGACCCCAGGATCATGACTTGAGCTGAAGGCAGATGCTTAACTGACTGAGCCACCCAGGTGCCCTACAAACATAGTTTTGAAGAAGTGATTCATAGGTACAGTCAAATATTTCCAATATTGGTTTCGTTTTGCAGTCTCCCAAGTTGTGTTACACATATGAAATACTACTTATTTGTAAATGACTGTACATACGCATCCCCCTATTTCTAAGAAAATTGGCCTCTCACAACTCTGTGTTCTCCCAATTTGGACTAGAAGCATGCATCCTTGTTGGGTGGCAAATATCAGAGTCTTCAGCTGGGTAGAGGACAATTGTGTACTTCATGCATGACCTGTAGGAACCTGCACTTTAGAAATTATTCCAGTCTCAGAAAGAGCAATCTTCACCTGCTCTCTTGAAAAGCATCTTCTAATGACCTGACATTAGAGGTATTTAAAGGATGTGTAGATGTTAAGAATAGTCATCATTAGCGTTAAACAGTGTCAACTCATTATCGAATGACTAAAGGAAATGTTTTTGTGTGTTTTCCTCCTCGGGAGTAGAGAGAAACAATAAGCACTTGATAGCTCCAGTAGAATGTGGATATGCTCAATTAGGGGTGAAAGCTTGCTTCACATAATTATTTTTTTCTCTCTCTCTATCTCTCCCCAAAGCAAAAACAACTAGAAAAATCTTGAAAGCAGGAAGCCCCCTGTATGTATTTACAGGTAACTTTTTCTGGTACATTCGGTAGGGAAAGGCACATCTGTTTACACAGGGACGTGTGACAGCTACTTACCACGGATGCAGTCAAGGAGATAGTTGCTGCGATTTCATAGTACGTTGTCCACTCTGATGTCATTGTTGCAGGGTTGAAATAAAACATTTCAACTACGTATTTTCTGAACACTCCTAAGTAAGGTCTGCTCCAGCTCAGGACCACTGCCGTAGGACCCAAGGGATAGAGCATTAAATCCTTTATCCCCGTTGGAACTAAGAAGAAGTGGGGAGGGATGGAAAAAAAAAAAAAAAAAAGAGCCAGGAAGGAATGTTTAATATCTTAGCAATGGCTTCAAACTTCTTAATAGCTAGAGTTTTCGCTCTTCCAATACCATCATTGAATAAATCATATTCGCCTCTGATGTTATTTTTCCTGAGCTGTAGATGCTAACGATATCCCCCTGGTATACAACAGTAGTCATTTATTACTCTGAGTGTAGAATATTGGGTGAACAAGTAGGGCCCCCCATATATGATGATAATGACTTGGACCTGGGCATTGGACCCCCGCCTCTCCCCCCAACAGTACTCTGATAAAGTTATTCTGGAGGCTGGCAGCTTACCGATAGCAAATGTGACAGGATCTGAAGGGGGTCCAATCAAAGGGCCTTTTCTTAGGTACATCACGACCTGGTACTGGGCACCAGGAACCAGATTTTCAATAATAGATTTGCTTGAGTTCACCTTTAAACCAAACACCCGATATGATTTATTTAGAGCTGGGCTTTCATAATGTGACACAAAAGCTGATATCATATTCAGGGCTCTTTGTGGAGCCACAGATGCCTTTGAAATCCAGAAGCCTTTGCTCGTTCTGCGGAAGGTCAGATTTCAGAATTAGGATGATTTATAGTTTATGTGAACACTGAAGGGAACCCAGAACATTCAAATTCTATGGCTGGATTTAATAAGCCCCGTGAACTGCTTTGTACCCATCACTGTCAATTTTAACTATATACACTAGAGACACATCAGCCCCTAACCATAATCAAATCAGCAATACCATAAGGGGAGTCTGACATCCTAAACCGTAGTGTCAGCTAAAACCGTACAAAGATCAGTGCAACAATGTCTTCAGCCTCTTGTCACTTAGAAGCATATAATATCTAATTATAGAGATGGAAATGACCTCAGAGATCATCTGCTCCAAATCTCTCATTTAATAGATCAAGAAAGTAAAGCCAGGAAATGGCCACGGTCACATATTTAGATTCAGCGCTGCGGCTGGAAGCCTAGTGTTGTGACCTCTACAGCCTGCTACGGGCAAGTCATGGGACTTAGCGTGGGGGGACAGCAGGAGGCGCTTCTCCAGGCTATTGTGACCCCATAAAATAATGTTGTAGGAAATATTTCTCATTTAGATGAGCTCTTTGCTGTTCTTTAAAAAAAAAAAAAAGGGGGGGCGCTTGGGTGGCTCAGCCGGTTGGGTGTCTGCCTTTGGCTCGGGTCATGATCCCAGGGTCCAGGGATCGAGTCCTGCATCAGGCTCCCTGCTCAGTGGGGAGTCTGCTTCTCTCTCTCTCTCCCTCTGCTGCTCCCCCTGCTTGTGCTCTCTCTCTCTTTCTCTCTCTGTCAAATGAATAAATAAAATCTTAAAAAAAGAAAATTTTTGGGTCAGTAACAAATGCAATATAGAGAACAATAGAACAGATAGATGAATGAAATGTTCTTACTAAGGTTAAATGTTGGTGTGCACGAGGATTGATGCTTCAGCTTACGGGTCAAGAAGTGTGCGACTTTGACCTTAAGTGCCTCTGTAGTTAAGACAGTCTTGCTTAGTAGAAAGAACACAGGCTCTCTATTCAGACTGCCTGAAATCAAATCCTGACTCTACTCCCTTGTAAGAATGGGAATTTATTTATAATTTGCTTTTAATTCTTACCTTGGCTTCCTGATTGGTAAACTATAGATAATGCTATTCTATACCTCACAGAGTGGCAAGGATGCTTAAACTAGAGTATCAATAAAGTTAACTCATTACTCAGCAATTCTTTGGCCTCTGGGGTACATAACATAAAATTGCTGTGGAAAGGAGCATAAATCAATGAAGAAGAGTATTGTTGGCAGTTTACGTATGCTATAAGTTTTTGTTTATTAAGCTTCGTTATGATTTTAAGAATAAACACAGAATTGGTGATATGATATGAACTTTAAACCTTTCTGATACCAGAAACTGATTCTACACAATTGAAATTGTGGAATTTGAATCGGTAGAACTTGCTCTAAATGTAAGTGGAGGGACAGGCACACCATAATTTCTTTACCAATAACTTGAGCAAAATAAAATTAAGTTGAATGACTACATTAGCATTTCCCTCCTTTCTTTCCTATTTACACTGATATCAGAATTTTTTGCCCATGTTTTCGAAGGTGAATTCTGCTGGAAGCCATCTAGACAAAGTTGGCCAACTAGATATCCTCATCTGACGGAGCATTTCCTGAAGAGACAAACCACGAGCAAGACATGCATGCTGTGCAAAACTAAGTAACACTGTCTTATTTCTTTAAAATAATTTTTTAAATGAGAAAACTAATAATGCTCACAGTAGAAGAGCAAATGGCATAAACCGGCAATTTTTCTGTCCTCCTCCCCTCATTTCAAACATTTTGGTGGGCAATCTTCCAGACCCTCCTGGATACATATAGACATAAATAATATGATATAGAACCATATAGGTGTTACATTATTAACATCGCTCCCAACTTTTCTTTAAAACTTAACAACACATCAGAGACATCTAGGCATATCCGTGAATGCTAACTTAGCTCATTAATCACTCATTTAGAATACTTAGAATAGCAGGACAGAAAACGTGTAGACTGCTTTAGGGTGGTGTTAAAGATTCTTTGGTTGGATAATATTTTAAGCAAGTAGTTGATTCTGATTATTCAAATGACTATGTGAAATCAGAGCCACTTAAATATGCCATCATATTTAATACCCTGAGGGTATCATGCTAGTGAAATAAGTCGGAGAAAGACAAATACTGTATGATTTCACTATGTGGAAACTAAAAAGCAAAACAAATGAACAAACAAAACAGAATAAAACTTATAGGTAAGGGGAACAGAATGGTGGTTGCCAGAGGGGAGGGGTTTTGGGAGGTGGATGGTATGGGTGAAGGGGCTCAAGAGGTACAAACTTCCGGTTATAAAATAAACAGGTCACGGGGATGTCATGTACAGCTCGGTGACTATAGTCAGTAATATTGTGTTGCATATTTGAAAATTGCTAAGAGAGTAAATCTTAAAAGTTCTCATCACAAGAAAAAAGATTTTGTAACTTTGAATGGTGATGGATGGCAACTAGGCTTATTGTGATGATCATTTCACAACGTATACAATGATTGAATCATTATGTTGTTACCCTGAAAATATGTTCTACATCAATTATACCTCAATACAAAAAATACGCCATCATAACAAATTCACCCTAGGGACATTATACTCCTTTTTAAAAAGATTTTATTAATTTATTTGTAAGAGAGAGAGCATGAGTGGGGTGAGGAGCAGAGGGAGAGGGACAAGCAGACTCCCCACTGAGAACGGAGCCATCACCTCTGACCTGGAGCTCAAGGTGGGGCTAAAGGTGGGGCTCTTCACAGGACTCCATATGGGGCTCCACCCCAGCACCGCAGGATTAAGACCTGAACCGAACTCAGACTGATGCTTAACTGACTGAGACACCCAGGCGCCCCTACTTTTTTTTTAATAAAGAAGCAACTATGTGTATATACATCAGACTATTTCAAAAAATGACCTCGGTAATAAATAACAAATAATAAACACCAACTCCTTCCTGCTACCTCGTTTTTGAATATTTGCTGAGCCACCAGCCTGTACCTAATGCTTCTACGCTTCCATGCCCCTTGCTTTTATCCTGGATCGCCTTGGGGCAAGTAGACTGTAGGCAGGCAGGAGAAACGCCCCTGAATACTACTTACTAAATAATATGTATTTTATTCTCCAGAGGATCATCCCACATCCCCTCCCCCAATTTTCATCCCATTTTTGCATTCCACTATTTCCTCTCTCCCGTTCCCAATGGGCTTCGTCTCCATTTAAGAGAATTCAGTTCAGCCCAATGCCCCTCCGATGAAGCACCAGTCCTGTTTCTCCCCAGCTAAAGAAATAGGAGGAAAGATGTCCTAGGGAGCATAGGAAATACATGACAGACTGCTAAATCATAGGGTACGTACATTGTCGGAAAACACGTAGGGACCAAGGCAGATCACATGTAAAAATAAATATATACACATATATGACTTTTTTAATCCTGAAATTTATGATTGTGTGTGAGTCTTTGGAGAAAGTACTGAAAGCACATTTGCACAATTTGAACAATTGGTCGGGTCCTTTATGTATAACACTGACGGAGCCCACACTTGATGTTCAATATAT